GTGAGATATAATAAAAACTATACAATTTTAATTTAATTATATACATATGTATAGATGGTTGTGTGTATATCAATATCTATATGTATATTGTATATAGTAAAAACATACGAATCATTTAGATTGAATGTGCAACACGGTCCGAACATGGTTAAACTCTCTTCAAAGGCAACTTTACTGAAACATTCAATATTTTTCTCCGCCAATTTGCATTCCAATATGAAATTTTTACAGGCTGGTGCTAACTGAAATGAAGGTAAACCTAAATTAATGACTATATTATTTTATGTAATTTTTAAGAATCTTACCATTCTCATAAATCTTCGGGTATCATAAAAAGCATCATTATTCCATGCATCATGAGTATCCAAGAAAGCTTGAAAGTTGGTTAAAGCTTCAGTGTTAATTGTTTCTCCATGTTTAACGTAGAGATTGTTTAATAGTTGAATACTTTCCAAAAAATAAACTACTGAACGATTCGATGGATCACTTTTATGTCTAAAAAAAAATGTAAAGAATTACTTTCAGTTTAAAAAAAGTTTTGTGCTCCAAAACTTAAAATTCAACCTACAAACCCATAAGCAACTTTTTTTAATTTTTTTAAAGTGGTCTCAATATTTTATTAAGTGTCCGTTAACCTACAAACAAAGAATAAGTTGAGGTAGTCCCTTTACTAAAGTAGAAAACAAAATACGGTCTGAAACGATGTATAACATGAATAATACTCATTCCAGACTTTAAAACTGGAGTATTTTAGAAAAACTGGGAGCTATCAGTCAACCAAATATAACCAAACTATCCATACATCTGAACTCTACTGTACACTATAAACATTTTTAAAACAAACCACGCCAAACGCTTCACCTGACCTATAAACTTCGAAAAAGACTTCAAAAACATGAGAGTAATTGAAAACCCAATTTATAGGTATTCTATGCTTTTCATGATATGAGAAAAAAATTGTCTAAAATAAAGTAAGTATCTCTGCTAGTGTTAATTGCATTTATGCAGAAATTCTCAAGAACATCGATCTACGCTCAAAGACATCATAATCAAAATTTCTGTCTGACATCATGAGAAATTACCGATACTTAGCCGCTTTGGACCATAACTGAGGGCCAATGAGCGTCAGCGGGTTTATGTCTACTTACACAAAGTAAGCTAAAGAGGGTCAGTAAAGAGGATTAGCGGATTTGATCTACTTAAACGCAGCCAATCTGCTGATTTTGTGATCAGCTACCTTTCCATTGCACTTCTAGCAGTATGTATTAAATTACTTTAGCATTTGATACTTCACTGAATCGAAGTTTCAATTCAATGAAACCTCACAAACTCCAAAGATTTAGATGAACCTATAGCTGCACTGATCAAGTTTCACTACTGACTTATTATATAGATAATGGGTTCCAACTAAAATAAAAAACTGTCGGACTTTCGTTGAGCTAATTGCAGCCTATTTCACATTCTAGAAAAAAGGTACTAGCTACAAAAATCTATAAACTTCTGGAGCAGAAAAAAGTCACATGGGCTACTATAGTTATATAGAATGCTAGGTCATTCACATTATTGAATTTTTTACTAAAAAGTCAGAGTCAAAATAACAATGTTTTTGTGTCACAGAATACACTCGCAAATATAATTGACAAAAGAGTTGATGTAGGAATATTGGGTAACAATTCTCCCGCAAATTTTTGTATGGTAACACAGTACCAATCTGCACGTACCACCCCAAGGAACCTAAAGAAAAAAATTGGTTGAATCAGATTTCAAATTCCGGAGCACCATGGACCAATAGGTCTAAGTGGATCGTCGGTATAACCTGCCCTAACCTAAATTCCGTATACTTTTTATAAACAATGTATATAATTTATTTATATCATTGTAGCTACATGAACAGTTGCATTCCAAACCAAACCAAACTGTTTAGTAAAATTGAATCTATCAGTTATCTGAACGACATTATGTATTTATAAATAGAATAATCTCATGAATCTCATGCATTGAAAAAATTCGCTGAATGTTTAAAATCTCATCACATGTTCATATAAAAACCCATTTTAATATATATACCTATGTACTTATCTATAAATATATATGATATATATGTATATATCGTATGCCAATATATATACAAATATCATCAATCAAACTGTATCCTTCAACGCACAAATGTGAATATAAATTTTAAATGAAGAACAGCTCCAAAGCACACGGTATGAACATCAACTTAAACAAGGAGCAGCAAATAAGTGCATAGATAGAAACAATGATACTCGAATCATACTCACAATTGATTTGCATATGTCATAGCCTCTTGTTGGGAAATTCTATTGTTGGAGCAAATGGAGACAGCCGGAAATGGCACATTTTCGACTGCATAAAGTGGATCGTGTAAATTGATAGCGAAGTATTGAGCTACGAATTGCTCCCAGGTAAGCAGAAGCACTGTCAGCAAAGCAAACAAGGTTGTCGCATGCACCGCCAGCCAAATTAATCTGCAAATACAATAAGGAAAGATGATGAAAAAAAAGGTTAAAATAAGCAAACAGGGGAAAAACAGAAAAACAGAAAACAGAAAAACAGAAAAAATGGCATAAATGCAGTTCAGATTAAATTGACAAGATGTTGCTTGATGTTGCAGCTGATGTGTGCAACTCCACACACAGGAGTTGCATAAAAAAACAAACCCAAATGAAAAAATGTGTAAAAACGAAAGGATTCACATTATTTTTTCCGCACTTATTTGATATAAAAATGCACATTCACCGATGGGCACAAATGCAATTCACAAACTTACTTCTCCCAAACGCTGTGCTGTGTTATTATCAAATTTGCATAGCCGTGCAAGGATATGTTGCGAAATAAATCTGCCAAATCATGACACAAGGATGCATGTTCAGATTGCTTACGTTGACTCTGTTGCTTGTGCCGAATGCCTCGCACCCATGTTTCTGTGGGATTCTTAATCCACCAGACAGCGTTGGATGTTGATTTAATATCAACTACTGTTGCGCGAAATTTTAACGACGACATGTATGATTTACGAAGATAACTGTGTGCTTAAGGATAACAGACGTGATGGATACTTCAGCACAGGTGTGTATTCCTCCGTGCTGTAGTGCACTAATGCGAACGATTGATTGGCAGCAGTGAGCAGTAGTCCTGTCTCTGATACTGTTTACGAATGGTGACGACAAGTACAAGTTGGTGCTAATATTTGGGACACAATGGGCGGTTTCCATGTTCATTAATATTTGCCTTGCAGTATGTGTCCTTATATGCAGTCAAAGGGTTGAAGTACTAAGTAGTAATCTTCTATGGTTCCTTGTGAGCAAAACTTAAACGCAATAAATGTTTGAATGGCGTTGTTAGTGTGAAAGTAAGTTCATGTCTACGATTAAATCTATAATTATATGTTTGGGGAAGTCACTAATTATAGAATATTCATTCATATAAGTGGTATAACCTTTAAGAGTATTTAAAATGCGTCATATTTAGGTTAGAATTTTATGAATGAATCAGTTTTAATTGCTTCGATAGTAAATAAAAGTAAGATTAAATAAAACTGTGAAAATAATTAAACAGTTAAGTTGGAAAAATAAATAAAATTTTGAAAAACACTAATTGACTACATTTATTATTTAAAGAAGAAGAATAAAGTAAAGAAAAAAATACTTTTTAAAAATAGATATTTTTAGTGAGGCCATCTATTGACAATTTTATGACTAGATAAATAAAAATGAAATTATTGCGTCTGAAGTGAAAATCTTATTTCTTTCTACGCTAAAAGTTAAGTGAGTCCCAATAAATTCCGAACGCACCTAATCTATAATCTACCAGACAGATTCTTAAAGTCTGATCTTAATTGATAATCCATTTTCAGCAAATAAGAATTTTTAAATATTTTTTTAAAGTCCCAATAAAATTCCAAACGCACTTTATATAAACTCTTCAAGTCTAACCTGTTTAGTAAAAGTATCTTAATTGATAATCCATTTTCTGCAAACAAGAATTTTTAAATATTTTTTTAAGAGTACCAATAAATTCCGAACATACTTTATCTATATCCAACCAGATAGATTCTTCAAGTCTTACCCACTTACCAAAATTAACTTACCTGAGATTCCATTTTTTTCCGATAAGAAATCGTTTTCTTTGACGTGTAATACACTATTAACTAAATTTCTTCTTCTCACAGATGCATTTTTTGCAAAGAGTGAAAGTCGGACGGTATCAATCTAGGTAAATACAGATAGGTAGTGATTACCTTCTTCTACACATTCGAATTTTTTACTTTTATTAAAAGGTCCCATATACCCAACTAGAAAAGACTTTAAGACTACCCTGTTAAGCGAAAGTATCTTACTTGATATTCCGTTTGCTGTGATGAGAAATCATTTTACTTAACATTGTAGATTGTTACCACTCTTTCCATTTCCTGATGACTTTATTTGAAAGGTTTTTTATAACATAACTCCACAGAAAGGTTTAATCTGGTTACATACTAGTAACTGAGATATCGCTTAATATCTCATCTGGGCTCTCGGAAATTGATGTCTGTCGTTTTTATGAAATGGACAACTACTTAAAGCATACTCTTGTAAATGTTTCTCGGAAAACTGACGACGATATTACACACTCCCCTACAGCGTTAGATGTGTACTCATAATTACTAAGGATTAAACTCACTCTCTTAGAAGTTCTAATGAAATATTTTTAACTTTTTTTTTTTGTAAATAACATATTTTAAATGGAAATTTTTTTTAAATATCATTTTTTATATTTCAAATATAAATGTTGTGGTTTTCCTTATATTCCAGAAAATCTCTTTATTGACTCATAACTCATGAACTCACAAACGTATTCTCCTTTTTATCTCAATTTATTTCAATTATTCAAGTTAGGCCATTAACTGAGTGTCCTTCCTAAAGGTTCTCATTATTTTTTTAAATGAAGTGGTTTTCGGAGACATAAGCCCAACAGGTCCAAAAATTTTCACCCATTGTACTTAAAGGCATAAATTAAAAGTAATAAAAGAAATGAAGAAGTGTTGGGCAAGAAAGCCAAGAAAGGCAAGGAAATATCTGCAGGAAATTATAATAAAAGTAATTCACAGCAGGTGTCTTTAATTCTCGTTTCCGTTTCCGTTTTTGTTTCATTTATCATAACATTTTTTATGACAATCTACGAAAATTTTCTTTCTATTTTTAATGCTCCTTTTTGTACTTCATCGCTTTTTTGTGAGCCGAGGCATAATTGAAGGGAAACGACGACCTTTCTTTTTTCAATGAAAACGTTTTTCTTCTCTTATTATTTTCTTCTGCATTTTAAGGAGTAATAATTGCCGTGCATGGCGCTGTAATTACAACCGAAAGCCTATTAAAAAGCTGAAAAATTTAATAAAATAAACACGAAAGAAATGAAAAAAATAAAAAAATAAACAAATAAAATGCTGAAAATTTGTATTTAATGAAAACTGTAAACTGTAAAAACAGGGCAGAACAAAAGATATGAAATATTTAAGACTCAAGTTCAAGGATCAAATGCAAAAGAGAAACAGGATTGTTTTCTTTTTGTGTTTCCCCAAAAGGAAATGAGACCATAAATGCATAAGTGTAAAATGGAATAATTACAGGAAATTTTTAAAAAGGCACATTAAAGCGTTTTAAATAATTCAATTAATGTGCAAATTGTTTTACATTAACGAAGGAATGTAGGAGTGGGATGTGGAGGCGGACTCTAAAGTAAGGCTATATTGCAGGGATGGCATTTAGAGAATATTACTAGATATTTTACTAATCACTTTAAACGACTTCAAATCATGATTTATACATTAAAGAACAAACATTTTATGATATATACATTTTAGGGATTAAGATAGGTCGTGTGCGAGTTAGGCTAAGTTGCGTTCTAAATGAGGGAAATTCTAAGTTGTGCCGATAATGTAGTGATGTGTCGATACGTGTTGATAAATGGCAAAATGTGTGCAGTGCAAAAAATCCCAAAAAATCTCCCATTTGGTTTAGCATCAACTTAGCCTAACTCGCACACGTCCATAATCGCATAAGGACTACAATCGTGGTGTAATTTAGCATATAAAATCTGCAAAGATTAATTACTAATGTGTCAGAAATGTTATATAACAGTAAATATAATAAGTAGAAACGTAACTCATTCAACTTTTAATAATATATAAAGCTCTATTTCATAATTGAAATTTTAATACTTCAAATTCGGGTACCAGATACTTCCCGACATAGTAAAGACAAACTGCCATGGAATTGTTGTTGTTACAGCTGCTGTAGCCTTTCGTCTGTTTATACCAATAAGAGAATACAATACACAGAAAGCTATCGATTTCATATTCATTGAGTTATATTTTGGGAAATTGAGGAGGAATTGTACCAAAAAAAATGGAGTGGAATGCAGCAAATAAAGACGAGATTAAGCATAAGATGATAAAGTAACTCTGTTATCAACTTAGTGAGATTCGATCAAATTTTTTTTTTACTGATGAACTTTCAACCGCAGCTTAAACGCAAATTTTTTTTATAAACTTATCATTCCAAAAACATTCCCTGAGAAAATAATACTGAAGTGTGTCAAAGAGTCAGTGACTTTTGATCTTTCTTACCAATCTTGCTCAGAATGCTTTATCGGTTGTGTTAACTGCGAACTAACTGTAGAAAATTGTTAAGTTTTAAGAAAAGCATCATCCTTTAAAGT